TGCTTCTGTTTTCTAACCATTTATAAAATAAGTCCCATGTTAAATAATACTGTTTCCTCTTTATCCTTAATTTTCATCGTTAACTTGTCTAGTTCAGCAGAGTCTAGTATTTTTTAATTACATTTTCATCTATATACTTTTGATACTTTTATATCATGTATACTTTTGTTTTTCCAGTTTTGTGTGTACATAATTCTCGCTGCCGTTATTACGTGTAACATTAAATATACAATTCTTTTGTTGTGTTTCCCCGGTAGTATACTTAGTAAGAACTATTCTGGTTTTAAATCTGTTTGTTGTGCTATCATTTCTTCTAACCATCTTTTTATCTTTAACCAATACTTCTCCTTCCTTTCCGTTTTGTGCTTCTAGTTTTTGTAAGGGAACAAAAGGGGTACCTACACCGCCAACGCTGTTTTCTCGGCCGCTCATGCTCTGCAAGACAGCTTTATCTAAGCCGAGCTTTAGGCTGGCTCTGTCAAACATCTCTCTCTCGTAGGAGTTTCTTGTGATCAGCCTGTAGACTTTCACTGCCTTGTTTTGGCCAATCCTATGACAACGAGCTTGAGCCTAAGGAGACAGGACATCCAAATCCATCAAAAAGATCCAATTCAGTAAATTTCCTATAGCACCATTAAAACTGACATGTTATACCTGCAAATCATTCTGAGGATTCCAGTCTGAATCGAAAATTATACAAGTGTCAGCTGCTGTTAAATTTATGCCTAATCCGCCAGCTCTGGTACAGAGAAGGAAAACAAACCGGTCAGAATCCGGTTTGCTGAATCGATCGATGGCAGCCTGACGTAAGTTTCCTCTCACTCGCCCATCGATTCGCTCATACAGATACCTTTGAAGTGTAAAAAAAAAAAAAAGGAAGCAATACAAAGAAAGCCCTGTTAGTATTAGAGTTAAGACTTCAACAGATCAAATATCTAAGATTTGATATCTAAGAATCAGTAGGTTTGTCAGCTCAAGCTACGGGTGCTGAAATCCATACACCTTCAAGCTGTCAAGGTTGAAAAACACTAACATTGAGAGGAAATCAACAGCTGAATATTCATGCACAGCTCAGCACATTAACCAAGTGCATGGAAAAGCACTTATGGTGAGCTCTACATGGGTGTTTGCAATGTGGAAAGCTCACCTTTTATGTATTAAGTAATCTTCCAGGATATCAAGGCAGCGGACCATCTGAGAAAAGATAAGCACCTTGTGGCCTCCCGCTTTCATTTTTGGAAGAAGTTTATCAATGAGGACTAGTTTCCCAGCAGACTGGATCATTGCTTGTAGGTGAAAATCAGGAGCACTCGGACTATAGGTTTCCCTAAATTCTCCTAAGATTTTTTCCTCAGCTCCTGTGTTCAGGAGAAGCAGAAAAAAACAATTTGCGTTCTTCTTTTGTTTCCAAGCACAGAAATATTATACGATTTTGGTCTGGATTGCATAAGAAGCACATATCATAAACAGAGCAATAAATCCTCCACGATTAGCACAAGGAAATATTTACTGCTGTTCACCATCCCCTGATGCTTTTATGAATGCTTTGCATGCACCTGCAAATTGTCAGGTGAATCGCTGCTGCTATGTTTTCAACTTAAAAACATATAATAATGTTATACAAAGCCTAAGTTTTAAGTGGGTTGGAAACAACTGGATACTCAGGGAGTCTTTCTTTAAGGAATTGATCCTAATTCTAAAGTCAACGGTGACAACCTCACTATGAACAAGGCCTAAAGTAAATTAAAAAAGAGTTTTGTTTGTTTCAAAATATACCTACCTTTGATAAGATATGGGTGATTGCAGCATTTCCTGAGTTCCATCATGGTATTAACTAAGTTGGGCACGTTAGCTTGCCCTGCCCCTTTGGACAAAAATGCAAAGTTTTTCTCTAAAATAGCTCGATAGTATTTCTTCTGGATATTTGTTAACTCCACTTCAATAATGGTTTCCTGCTTGGGAGCCAATTTCTTCTCTACATCTTCTTTCAGTCTTCTTAGCATCATCGGTTTCAGAATAGCTTGCAACTTTTGCACCTACATAAAACATAAACAACTAACTGAAAGCCAAAGAACTAGAATTAACAAACCGTTCAGTTACTACGCAAGGCTGCTTCGAGGTTCAAAGCTAAAAAGGCTGCTTGATGTAACTTTTTGGTAAGAATCACAGAATCATCTTTTATTATTATTATTTTTAAAAAACTATTAGATATAGAAAATAGGATTTTGAAGGGCAAGTTCCATTGACTGCCATCTATGGATAACACAGCACAGGAAAAAGAGAGCTAAACATTCAGGCAATTGGTTCCACATACAGGCAGTCCTCGACTTACAACAGTTCATTTAGTGATCATTCAAAGTTACAGCAGCCCTGAAAAAAGTGATTTTATGACCGATTTTCAGACTTACGACCATTGCAGCCTCCCCATGGTCATGTGATCAAAATTCAGATGCTTGGCAACTGGCTCATATTCATGATGGCTGCAGGGTCCCGGGATCATGTGATCCCCTTTTGTGACCTCTTGACAAGCAAAGTCAATGAGGAAGTCAGATTTACTTAACGACCGTGTCACCAGCTTAACAACTGCAGTGATTCGCTTATGAAATGTGTCAAGAAAGGTCGTAAAATGGGACAAAATTCATTTAACAAATATCTCACTTGGCAACAGACATTTTGGGCTCGATTGTAGTTACAGGTTGAGGATTACCTGTATTGCAAGAGCCTGCAAAATTCTTGGCAAATCATTTACTGAAACTGAAAGGAAATCTGGATATTGTCGGTTGCAAAATTTTGCTATTTAAAGGGACACAGTGAAAGCCAACTCTTCTACATTTGTTCTCCCTACAGGTGGGGCTGATGTAGCTTTTTGAACCCAAGGCAATATATTCATTTGCCACAAACTATGTAAGAAAGTAGGATTCTGCACATATAAAACTCACATTTTCTACCCATGATTTTTATATTTATACAACTGAAATTAAACAACCACCACAAGAAATTAAAAGTAGTAGCATTCCTGAATAACTGTGACATTCTATAAAGTGTGCTGGGGAGGCCATGAAATAAATTAATATACTGCCCTGTACTGGAATGGGTAACTGGTTATATTCTAGTTTCTGAATGTGCCTGAATGTGAATCTTAAAGGTGTAACACAAAAGATTCCTACCTGTTCCTCCGTTTTAAGGTCTCCAAATTCCTGCATGAATGTAGATTCAGCTGGGAATCGCAGAGGTTCAAGGAAGTGAAGAAGGCTGAATAATTCTTCTACAGTGTTTTGCAGTGGTGTGCCAGTCAATAGCACCTTATGCTCCTAAAAACGTATGCAAAGTACATTGACAGGAAGTTATAAATCGTATTTCAGTGTAACAGGAATGATAAGATAAAAATATAGAATAAGAGAATAACAGAGTTGGAATAACATTGCTTCTTGTCCTGCCTTCAGTTGCTTTGGAGCATAGCTTTACTCCCTCTTCTTTGTGGCAGCCCTCAAATATTGGAAGACTGCTATCATGTCTCCCCTAGTCCTTCTTTTCATTAAACTAGACATATCCGATTCCTGCAACCATTCTTCATTTTTTATCCTCACAAGCCAATTTATACATATATACACATATAGGTTTACACATATGCCAATTTATAAATAGTTATTTTAGTAACCTTTTGATTTTAAGTAATTTCATTTTACGCCAATGACCACAAAACACCTTTTGAGCAACAAAACAAATGGCATGTAATAGAAAACAAAGATGTTTTAATGAGTTTAAAGGTCAAGAGAATCTTGGCTATATCGGAAACATAGAGATTCATGCACGGTATTATTATAGTTACATAGAGGCAACGTTATAAAATAAAGTTAAGCAGGTAGAAACACACATCCCTTCTTGATTTATAAGCTGCAAAATAACAATAAATATTTTGAGGATGTGTAAAAATTCAACTCATGAGCATTCCTGCTCCCAAAGGACCTGATGTGAGGAAGTGAGCAACAATAAAACAACCAACTCAAGCTAAGAATCCAATGTATCCCTTGATTTGGAGTTTAGCATTCTACTTTCTGTGTGTATTCATCTTTCTTGATATGAGTCATATCTCATTACATTGCAAAATAAATACTCACAAGATTCATGAGTTTGAGTCCCTCCAGAAGTTTGCAGTTTCTATTCTTCAATCGGTGTGCTTCATCAATGATAACACAACGCCATTCAATTGCATTGAGTTCGGGACAGCCCCCAAGAATCATTTCGAAAGTGGTGATAATGGCCTGAAACTTGTAGGTATCCCTAATGATGCGGCCCTGGGAGAATATAAATGAAAGCAAAACACAGTTTGCAACCTTATTGCAAACTTCTCATTTTTCACTGCATCTGCTAGTGAAGTTAATGGCTGGATGAGTGGGGAAGCTTTTTAAATGAGGTTGCCCTCTGATGAAGAACTGTATCAAAATTTACATGCCAAAACCAGTCTCTTTTGCAGCACATATGTGGATAATAAACTGATATGCAAGAGAAAGAAACCAGTTTGTAGACTGTAAGACTTGTGGGCTTCAGCTCCTAGAATTCCTCAGCCAGCCATGCTGGGAGTTGAAGTCTACAAATCTTAAAGGTTGCCAGGTTTGGAGACCCCACACTATGCAATACATACACACCCACCTGCCATGTTTATTACGACGTAGAATTCCGTGCAGAAAATTACCTGCGAATCCCTGAAATACATCTCATAGCGCTGTATCATTTGCCTACTAATCATGCTTCCGTGATAGACGACAACATTCAGATCGGCCCAGGTGCGGAACTCCCTCTCCCAGTTGGTGATGGTTGAAAGGGGAGCAATGATCAAGAAGGGTCCTCTTATACCATTCAGAAGGATTTCATAGAGGAATGTTATCGACTGGATGGTTTTGCCAAGGCCCATTTCATCTGCTAAAATGCAGTTTTGTCTGAAAAAACAAGTGCACTTGTTGGTAGGGCCATCAAGTGGAATATATGCAGAATACAGAATAACAGGTGGAAGGGAGCTTGGAGGTCCTTCTAATGCAACTCCCTGCTCAAGGAGGAAACTCTATACAATTCCAGATAAAAGGCTGACCAATCTCTTCTTAAAGACCTCCAGGGATGGAGCACCCACAAGTTCTTGAGCCAAGCACTCCAAGAGTTAATTGTTCTCACTATTAGCGCCAGGTTGGATCTCTCTTCAATGATGACACCCATGATTTCTTGCCCTTACCTTCTGCTGCTTTGGAGAACAGGTTGACCCCTCTTCTCCCTGACAGCCCTTCAAATATTGGAAGACTGCTGTCAGGTCACCCTTAATCCTTTTCTTCATTAGACTGGACTAGAGTAGATTTGTTAGAATAAAATATCTATGCTAGATTTTGAAGGGTACTTATTAACTGTAATTAAAAAGTAGGGATAAATTTGTGCTGCAAAAATGGCTGGAAAGACTTCAGAGATAGTAAGACCTGACTAAAAGAACATTTTTGTGGGCTTCCCTTGATTGCTTCCTATGCCTCACAATAAGATTCCCCTCAATCTGATCCTGTGTGTACTAATTTTAATCATATTCCATCTTATTATTTTTGGTGCATCTGACCGTATTACAAACCAGGAATACTTCAACTTACTTTAGAAGCAGCTATAAGATCAACATTACTTTGACTGGTATAGAGAACATACCTGTTGTACCAATTGAAAAGAAGCCAGTTGAGACCTTCTAATTGGTATTCCCTGAGTTGGTTGCCATTTTTATATTCCCTGGACTGTTCTATTTTCTTCCATGAATTAGGTGGAGGGCGATCCTTGGAAATAAAATACAAAATGAAACGTCTTTGAAATTATCCACTTAAATAAAAAAAAAGGAAAGAATGTATGGGGGAGGCGAACGGCTATGGAGAATATATCCCTGTAAATCTGGGACACTGTAGACTAGCTTCTGAAATACAGCTGCTGAAATATGCACATTTGTACGAAATAACTTGTAAGAAATTAGTCTGAGTTTTTGTTTTCATCATGGAGAGAGAGAGAGAGAGGGAGGGAGAGGGAGGGAGAGAGAGAGAGAGACTGACTGACTTCCAGGGTCTTACAATCCAATCTAATCCAATTCAAGCCAACCCATTCCTTGTCTTATCCTCAACATCAGAGACCAGACAAGAGCTTTTATGTTTTATTTATCTGAAGGAGCTGAGATGGCTTTTTGCAACTCAAAAGAACCTCACGATACTATTTCTAGTAGTATTTCTCAGTAGAAAGGTTAGTTATCTCTAGTTATCTTACCAATCGTCTTGAATCAAGTTTTAAAGCTTGCAGCTGTTCAAATTCTTCTATTTTTCCTTGGTCTACATCTTCTTTCAATTCCCAAGTGCTGTCTTCATATGGCAAGGAGCACCACTTTACTAAATAGTAAGTAACATGCTGCAGTGGGGAGGGAAATTACATGGGTTATCCACTCAACCATCAGGGCTCTCACGTATAATTTCTGAGTATAAATCTTCATTTAGATGCATTGAGCTTCCTTTCCCCTTCCTTTTTTTCTTTTTTCTTTCCTACTGCTCAGTTCTTCATGTTCTGAATATTAAATTTGTTATTCACCTATTTATTCTGTCCTACATTTTATTTCTATAGCTCAGAGCTAATTATTTGAAAATAAATATATATGTGGGTCATGTACATATCAGTGTATATAAATGTTAGTTTCCCAGCCCTTGATTTATATGTTTTTTTTTTATAAATTATACCTCTCCAGTGTCTTTATCTTCACAAAAGGAGACTTCTAAAACCCGGTCTACTTCAATATAATCAGGATTAAAAGGTTCTTCCTCCATCTAAAAATTAAAATAGGGTTATAAATATGTATATTTTATTTACCTGAACAAAATAACACAGTGACAAACTTGAGACACAGACTGCTATGCACTGTGATGAATTCATATTACTGGCTGTACCCAAATTATTAGCAGCATGCCTTGAAAAAACTGTTCTCTTCCCTTTTTAAAAAGAAAAATTTATTTATAACATTTGACTACTGAAAATGAGCAGTGCAAATATGTTCTTTGCTAAATCAACACCCAGACTATAACACAGGGGTCCGCAACTCCCGGTCCGTGGAGGCCACAGCATGCCAAAAAACTGGTTGACACAAACAAATGAAGCCCCATCCGTGGGATGCAAAACCAAGCCCCCTCCAGTCCCCAGAAAAACCTCTTTCCACGAAACTGGTCCCCGGTGCCCAAAAGGTTGCACTGCTGTGACACGTCAAAGAGCAAATTGTATAAAGCCATAGCAGTCAATACATTGATTAGTTTAGCAAGATTTCTGGGTGGAATTTTATAGATACTCACATCTGCAAAAAAATGGGCTCTCTGTGCTTGCCTCAGCTTGAAACGCTTGATTTTCTGCTGGATTCTTTTGTCCTTTAAAAGCTGCTGCTCTGTGGCCCATTCACAGTGGAGGTAGGAGCTAGCATTACAAAAGGACATGGAACTGTATTACTGCCAGCACAGGTTTTTATGCAAGCTTTTACGACATTAAGACAACTTGTGCAACGAAAAGTGAAATTCTGTTTTTTTGCTAGAATTACATTTACATTTATATTTTAACATCAGATCTCTACTACAACATGCACAGGATAGGAAATTCCAAGCGATGGATCTGACTCATAAGCAGGAATAAAATGTTTTCCTTCGATATTGACAGAGTTCTACATAGCCAAAGGAATTTCAGAACCAAGGACAATTCTGTTCTATGGTTGCCTGACTTTAAAAAAAAATTACAAACTCAAAGATATGCTATTAATTTGAATAAACACTCCAAAATGTAGAACTCCTTCATACAGCCTTATCATTTTAATTAGATGTGATGAAGTAGTCAACCAAAACAACAATTTAACTACAATACTTACTAGTTTTTGTATTTAACAAAAAATTCTTCTGCTTCTACTGACACGGTCCCAGGAATCTGAAAAGGTACATCATATACCCTGTTTAATATGCATTTACACATTTTATTTCAATTCTGAATTTAAAAACTCATGAATACCTCCATTATTTTACTCACTTCTTTTTTTCTAATTCTGGAGGATAAAATTTTATCTACAATTGCTGCATCTTCTTCACTTGGATTCTCCTGTTTAGATGAAAATATGAACAATAGTTTAATTATACAAGAATTATTTCCATCGGGGATGCCGAAGAAGGAATTACTTAGCAACTAAAACGTTGGGAGTGTGTATTAGGACATTTTCCACCTGATTATTCAATAAGTGTGGCAAATAAAATCCTTGACACAAAGTTCTGTTTGTATTCTTCCTTTCAGTGAACTAGGCAGATACTCCTATATTTTGTTTTGACAATACAAGGATATTCTGACAACAGTGAACTCCCGCAGCAGTGGAATAGCTAAGTGTATGCATTGTGTATCCAGCCCACAAGAGGTCCTTTGAGTAAAAGGATTTGGAGAGTACCCAGAGCACAACGCACCATGTATTGTTCTCATACACCTAGTGCTCACCAAAGTGGGATTATAGCTAACTCATTGTAACCAGCTGCTTCTCAGGGTTGTTCCTGAAATCATACTGGGGCTCCCTGGTGCAACGCAAGAGGTGTTGACTATAGTGTCCCACTACAAAGAATTTTTGACAAAATGTATCCGTAGCCGTTGTTGCCTAGATAGAGAAACCCCCAAACCTGTCCCTGAAACTTATGTATAAGGAGAACTGCAAAACGTAACCTGCCCAGTTAAGATTTTACTTACTACAAATAATTGTAAAGGTTGCTCAGCCGGCAAAGGAGTAGAATTTTTTTTTATTTTTACAGAAACTTTGGTTTCTTCCTCAGATTGCTTTCCTTCGCCTTCTTCGGCATATTTCTTCCTTTTAACTTGTCGATTCGATCTTCTCTTCTACAATAGGTAGAAGGACATGACCTTAACCCATCATTTGCAATCGTTTTCTTTCTCTCTCTCTCTCTTTTTTAGGGTATGGGGGTAAGATAGGTTGACCGAGTTAATTAAAAAAAAGACTGCTTTTTTAAAAAATACCTGTGAATTTTCATTTTTGAAGGGTTGCCGAGTTGTCTGTTTAGCATCTGACATTTCATCTGAGGAATCATTTTTTCTCTTCTGTTTTTTACCCAGTGTGATGATAAGCTTGCTGTTTTGAGACAAAAGACATGGTTACCAGGGCACAAAACTCAAGCCAGGATGGGAATATGAAACATCAAGTCACACACCAACTTTTCTTACTATTATTAAAAATGTTTTCCCTACTATTATTAAAATTAAGAGTGTTTGGTGAGTTTAATCTCTGAAAGTAGAAGTATTATTTTGTGGAGAACAAATTGAAGAAGGAAATCATTGTTTGATCCTAGAAGCACTAAATATTTTACATATAAAAGCCACTGAAATGAAAATAAATGTAATGGACGTACATGTTATGTGATTATTATTACCTCACAATCTAGAGTAAGCACAGCACAATATTTCAGGTTGACAGTTTGAATTTCAGATAACCAAGTAACATAGAAAGGATTTCATTACTAACAACCGACGACTTCATAAATGCAGGGGGAAATTATATTCTAATGCAACAGCATTAATTATATTTCTGCGTTTATACTCAAAAGGTTACAGAAAAGAGAGCAATATTAATCTCATCTCATCTCGTTTTTAATCAGGGCTGCAGAGACATATAATTTCCCATATTTAAAATCTGACAAGTGCTGCTTTTCATTGCATTTTTAAAATATTCACAATGTGATTACAATCCAACCCCAATTTAGATAAAGAGATGCCCTTAGATGCATACTTTACATATTGTGGATTGGATAATTACATACCACGTAGAACTGAAAACTGCTTTAGAACAGGCCTTTCTGTCGCTTCAAAGCCCTGATGCCCGCATAATTTGGCCTTATTTTATACACTGTAAATATATATTCATTTGTTGCAACTAATACTGCAGTTGCAGCAAATGAATATCATATATAATGTATGTTTACTTTATGTCTGTCTGTCTGTCTACCTATGTATCACATATAAACGCGGCTAGCTACTGGAAGATAATTTTTTAAAAAAATCATGACATGTAACTGGCTCAATTTCAGCTGCACTACATTAAAGAAAGAAATGCTGTTTTAAATGACAACCTTATATGTCTGAGTTAATGAAGTGCCAGGTAATATTAGAGTTAAGCCATAATTCAACAAGCTTACAAATTTTGCCACTTTTAACATTCAATTATTTCTAGACAGAGTACCTAAAACCAAACAAGCAAGCCAAGAAAACAAAAGACACAACCCAATCCCATTTTCTAACTTTACAAGCATAAAAGATTTAGGGGCAGAATCTTATACAAAAGATCTTGAGCCTGGGCTGCACTTTTGAGTTCTTTAAAAAGAGTCCCCAATGTGCATCTCCTATGGGAGGGAGTAAATCATGTGGCCCAAGAATCACGTATCTCTCCAACTTTTAATTTGCAATACAGAATGCTCTCATTATACCATAATTGGATGTTGAATCAAATAACATGCATGTGACATTTATGTAAGGTTACAAGGTTACATACTAATTTAAAATATATCAATAATCAGCATTTATAACATCAAAAATCAAGGTGATGTTTTTAAGCAAGTGAGACCCGTAAAGATTTTGAATGCTGTAGTGTCAAAGAACAAATTACTAAATAGGATTTAAACAGATTGCACAAATAATTGTCTGTTATTGCAGGGGATATGGCCCTTTTACAATCTATGAACTGAGGAATTCTGGGAGTTCACAGATCGTAAAAGGGCCATAGTTCCCCACCCCTGCCTGGATCAGTTTCAGCCTGCTTCAGCAGTGAGCATGAGATGGAGGTAACGGGGAACTGGGTTTTGTGCTACTTGTAAGCAGGCTGCGTGGATGTGCCCTTAAGTAGTTCACAAAATCCATTTACTGACAAAGCAAACAACCAGCAGACAAATCCATACCTGAAAACATGCTTTAAGCCACATCCTTTGTCCTACCCTTTCTTATTTTAATAAAACAAGTGTCCCTTAATCATCAAACTACAGCTGCCGCAGTCAGACCATGCTGGCAAGCTTCCACATCACACATGATTCATCCTGCCAACTTCATGACTCATAATTCTGAAATCCACCTAAGATTACATAGATCAAATCCATGTCTGTGGGCCTCAAACAATCATGGACGTGCCTACCCAAAGCACAGTCTACCTTGGGCTACCTTGCAAAAATGGACTAAGGTTGGTTCAAATCCACTTTTAGCCATGGAGCTTCCTGGGTGTTTTTGCATCAATCATTTTTTTCTCAGCTCAATTTGCCTTTGTAACCTGATTGCATTGGGGATAAAATTGATGGTGCTTTGGGGATAAAATTGATGGTGCTTTGGGTGGCACCTCCCCGATGTAATGTAGGCTTTTAGCTCCAGAAATAACATGCAATATAAACCCATAAAAATAAAAAACAGCATAAGCTGGGTTTAAAAAAAAGTTTAATAATTAATCCCTAATTGACCAACTCTCTCTCTTATTAGATTGAGGAATGGACCAAACTAAATTTGAGTGGCAAATATGTCAGTTATATTAGTAGTTCCGACACATTCTGTGGTGATTTATTTGACCTTGGGAGACTAGGTAGATAGACAGATAGCATACAACACCAAAGAAAACATTTATTTATTACTAGATTTATATGCTCCTCCAATTTCCAGGCGCTAGATAGTTCAAAACTGGGCTACAGGCTTAGTCAACATAAAGTTTCTAGAATATATCTACTTATTAAACCGCTGATATAATTTTTCACTATTATTTCAAATTCTCAACATTGTTTCGGTTGTATCGTCACCCTCATCGCCTGAATTAAAGTCCTACTGAAAGCAAAAATCGATGGGTAGGGCATAAAGGAGAACGTGAGCCGACTTTACCTGATTTTTGCCCTCTCTTTAGTTTTGGAAGAGCCAGTTTTGGCCTTCCTGCTTTCTTTGTCTTTTGGTTTGGATTTAGCTTTTCTCCCTTTTTTTTCTTCTCTCCCCTCTGCCGAAACACTTGGGAAGTTTTCTGGACTCATGACTCTCGGGATGTTTCTCTCCCCTCTCTCTTTTGCTTTGGCTATCGCCTCGGATATGATGCGATTGGCTTTCTCCTGCTTGCTTTCGGATTCCACTTTTTTCTTCTGTTTCTTCTCGAGCATTGATTTCACCTGGGTATTCTGCAGCTTAGTGTGTACCCCGGAACCATCTGCTTTCTTGGCAGAGGGGGGCTGCAAGGGGAAAAAAATATATAGGTTACTCATCTTAGATGACGGATGTAGCCCAACTCTCAGGTCAACAAGAATTGCTCCCAAAGACAGGTAGACCACAATTGAGCCCAACATTTCTTCTGTTGTTAAGTGAGTTTTGTCCCATTTTACAACCTTTCCTGCCACGGCTGTTAAGTGAATTACTGCAGTTGTTAAGTTAGTAACCCGGTTGTTGATTGAATCTGGCATCCCCCATGGACTCTGCCTGTCAAAAGGTTGCAAAAGGGACCTTGGGACCATTGCGTGACCTTGGGACACGGCAACGGTCATAAGTACGAGTCAGTTGCCAAGCGTCTGAATTTTGATCCCAGGAGAATAGGGATGCTACCAAGGGCGTAAGGGTGAAAAAGTCGCTTTTTTTCAGTGACATTGTAACTTTGAACGGTCACTAAATGGACTGTTGTAAGTCGAGGACTGCTGCAAGTGATTCCAGCACTGAATTAAAAATTCTAGGCACATTTACGCAGAATAAATGTGCTCTAAAGGACTTGCTTGCTTGCTTCCAAGTTTAGAAGCGCAGTTCAACAACGCTATTTGTAGTGGGGGTGAGGCAAAGCAGTGGATTGTTTGACACCTCCAAAGCTTTCTATACCTGAATCAGCCAAGAAGGGCAGGGTGGTTAGCAATATCTCATCTCTTTTTTTTTTTGGCGGCTCTTTTTAAAACTTCCTCTCTCATTCACTGCATCAAGATAGCAGAAAGGCCTTTTAAAGGAAGGTAGGATTTTCAGCAGTGAAAGGATATTTTGTTCCCATCTTATTTTTCCTCCATGCAGTGGATCAGGAGGCCAGAACTGTTTCTAGATGGTAGACACCTCGAACTACATCCGATACTTACATGCTGATTCAATAAAAAGGAAGTGTTTGAATCATATCACAGATTTGCTAAAGTCATTTTTAATCGATCATTTAATTATGATCAAAAAAATCATAAAAACAGGATTGGTGGAAATCATATTTCTGAAGAGAAAAAAAAATCCAATACTCTGACTTCTCTGCAACATTTAGGAAAAAAAAAAGATGCCTAACTTCAGTTGCAGGAAAATGACTTCATATGAGGCCCGATTTATTTTGTGCAATAAAAACAAAAACAAGCATCGACACTTTAAAAGGCAGATAACATTTGTAAACAGGCAGATAACCTTTTCCTCCATTGCAAATGGTAGTCAGACTTAAATATAAAAGGTAGCAGAGTTGCACATGGTTACATCAAAACAATGAAGCTGAAATATATTTTAGGTTTTACAATTTTTGACTTTGGAATCTGAAAATTCTGTTGCATAAAAATGTGCGGGCTTTGAAATCTTCAGAGTCTGGAGGATTAGTGAGCATGCCACAGATTCAGAGCACAACACAAGGGTCTAGTTTCCAGTCTTCAATCACAATTGTGGGTGGGCTAGTATAGCATTCCTGCTGCAACTGCATTTATCCATATTCTCCATTTTAATTTTTGCTTCCTTCTTTTCTGCTCTATTTCACCTGAGTCATAAATTTACCTCTGCAGGCCCACTCATGTTTTCATCGCTGTGCATACAAAAATACAAAGGTATTTTTAAATATATATTTTTGTACAACTGCTTCTTAGTCATTCTCATTACATTCTCCCTTTGCATTTTTAAACGGAATAACAAAATTTCTTAACCGCACTTTTTCCTATCTGAACAAGCAGAATACGGTAGTATAAAGAACTCCAAGGAAAGGAGCACTAGTACATCATCCCCTGCTCTAGGGAAGTTAAAGATTCAAACGATGTACCGATGAAGCATCAAGAAAAACCACACACTTACATAACACACAAGTTAACGTCATAACATAATCTGTACGTAAAGCATTGTTTTACATTCAGACACAAGGCATTTGGGCCGAATAGACTTTCCCTGCAACGCTACGCCTTTTAGATGATCCCAATCAATAAGTTATGAAAATACCCTTTGTTTAAAATTTCATGTATTGCTGATTCACAGGAAGCAGTTCAACAGTCCCTTTTGTCTGACCGTTGTTTCTAAATGTACCCAGATTGAAATGCCTGATTGCAGCATAAACAATTACAGCAGCTTTTCGGAGACTGCATGGAAGACAGTTTTAAAAAAAGCACAATGCAAGGAATGGAAAGAATTTCCTATCCAAACAGGGGGGGGAGGGAGAGGAGAGAGAGAGAGAGAGAAAAAAGAAAGAGACAGATAAAGAGATAATAATTATGTTATGTTCTCACCCATAAATGTGCCTCTCACTACAGCAAAGGGGAAAGTCAGGGATTTCCAAGTACATTTTCAGGATAATTTCCATTCGCTTCATTGGATACATATTTGGTTCTATAAGAGCCTCATCCAAGCCCTAACCCACAGCGCTGCGGCACCAGGGAGAACGCAGGGCTTATGATAGCTCAGTAAAATGCCATCTCAAGGCCAGCGACTTACAACAAAAATCACCCAGATTCGAGAAAACAGCAACAAGCTCAAGATGGCGATACAGGCACGACTCCCGTAGCAGCAGCAGCCAGTAATAAGGAAGGTTATTCAATCCCATTAGCCTTTTAGCCCAAAGAACCCCTCCTCCTCCCACTCATTCAAGCTTTCACTTACCCTTCCTCTTGGCCTCTTCACTGAAGACATTTTTGGCATGAGACAAAGGTTGCCCTCGGGTTTTCCACCACCCGAGGAGGTAGGTTGCGTTCAAGGGAACGACATTGAAAGAAGATTGCTGAATGGCCTATTTAAGCCAGCCAAGAGCCAAGGCAGACACAGCCTTCCGCAAACACACATTGTGATTTTTCAACATAATTTTCTTCCTGGACTGGCATTTAAGTCTCCTTCCTCTGCTAGACAAGTAGATCCTTGGCCATCCCCCCAGGGCGACAGGCTCTCAAAAACAGCTCCTGAGCAGAGAGCCAGCTTCCCACGAAACACCAAAAGAAACGAATGCACAAAGCATCAAAATGCATCGGCGGCGTGAATATTAGAGATGTCGTTAAAAAATACTGACTCCTTTTGCAGAAGTAGGCCAGCAGATGGTGCTACCAGTTATTATTCCATTAGACTCTGCAATTTAACCCTCCGTGGCCGGTTCTTCCCTACATGGGCCAGAAGAGTTAACTCTTCATTCTTCCACCTTCTGCAGGAGCTGAAATAGGTACTTTTATGGGTGATGTATATAAGGAGTGTTTAAAACTGACTATTTCGGTGGAATCCTGTCATTGTTTTGCCAGATGAGTTATTTTTGTAACTATTATTGCACAATATTCTAGTATCAGATTTTAACTTGATGGTTTCAGAAAGAGTTTATTGCAGTATTACTTTGAACTGGTGTTTAAACTCAGTTTCTTACACCTTGTCTAATCCAGAAGTAATCTATCTTTTTTTTCATTCTGTGATATTTGGGGACCAATGAGGTAGTCAAGAATATTTCCTAAAGTACCATCCTCACATTTTTGGTCAAGGAAGGAAATAAAATATTTATAATTACCATAGTGGCAAAAGAGTCTGAAGCCATGGATTTATTTTAATACTCGAAGCAAAAGGTTTTAAAAATCATTTTTGGGTTGATCAGTATTATGTCTTCCTAATATGGAATTGAATGAAGACATCATTAGCATCTACAAGTGACTTGCTGCTGAAGCCATTGTTTTATTTATATAATAACTCTAATCTAGAATTTAAGAATTTTTGGTTTAGAGTGAATAAATCAACTTCCTTCCTCTACAAACAAACCAAGAAAACTCCAGGGCAGGTTTAGTCAACGTAATTTGTTACATCCTAACTACCTAAACATCAAAACCAATGAACAAACCATGGGATTCCAACTTGCTGGAATAAGCACAAGCAAGAGATTTCAATTTAGATAACACTAAATCAGTTGGTTTTACACCACTGGAATACTGTGAACAAGGACAAGAATCATATAACATTTCTGATGAATATAAAAGTCTTTTCTTGTTTAGCTCAAAGTAATAATATGAAGGCAATCATAATCTTGCTTATAGTCCAGGAAATCTTCCACAAAGCATGGTTATTGTCTACTTTGAAGAAATATTTCTTTCAGATCTCTATCATCATAATACTTACAACAGCAAACCCACATTTAAATATGAAATCTCAAAGATGAAAAGAGTGGAAAATAAATTGCAAGATCATACTACAGAAAGAGAAGATCACAAAGCCCAATGCAGAAGGAATGCTGTAAATGGTATTTAAAGAGTTACACACACTATTTATGAAACCAGTGGAACTATTGAAGTTAACATATTTTCCTTAAATGGTTGCAGTGACAAAGAATAAAGCTGATGGAATTGATCAAATTACATAGAAATGCATAAAAAAGTAAACTTTTCAAATTCCCAATCGTGGATGTTGAATTTAAAAAAGTACAACGATCTTAACAAATTCATTCTTTTGTAAAATAGGACACTTCTGTTCATTGTTTTATTAAATACTTCTAGAGAATAATGAAATGTATTCAGATCCAGATTATTTTCAAGCAAAAGTTTAATGAATTTAACAGTATTTGCTTTCAAGTAATTGTTTCAGGATTGTGGTAGAAAACAGGTTCAAGGGATAAAAGAGACAAGACAAATTCAGAAAAAAAGGGGAAACCAGAAATAATTAGATGGTCAATTCTGATGCTTATTTCAGCTGAACCCATAATTGGCATACAGTCTCAAGAGAGTTGCCTATCCTGGTCTATTGATTGTCATGAACTAATTTTGAAAGAAATGTCATGTGCAGATTAAAACATAGTGCAATATATAGACTTTATATGACCTCAGTCATTTCATTTAGCGGGAGCTTTAACAAACAAAGATAACAGACAGCACTATTTCATTTAATGACTGACTGACTTTGACAAATGACTGACTTTGTCGACTCATGATAAACAATATTAAATAAATATACTGCAATAAATATCAGGCTCATATACACTCCCTTTCTCTTCTCCACTGAACACAAGTTCTTCCTTCTATACATGGCAAACTATATTCCATTTTAAAGATGGTTTCAGACGTGCCAGTTATATACGATGATTTCTACAGCTGGCTTGTTCCAATATATCATAATTAAGATTCAATACAGTTCAAAGTTCTGTTGTAGTTCAAAACTACGATGAATAAAAATTAGCAATACCTCACATTAGAGAAAGAAGAGGAGGAGGGGGAGGAGGAGGAAAAGGAGAAGAGAGAAAGAAAGAATCCAAGGTTTGTTAGAGATTGCTCTCATCACTTCCTGGACATTTTTTAGGAACGTGAACTTCAACTAACAAAATTCACAACAATTATCATGTTGGATGGGATACATCTTAAATATGCTTTTATAATCACTGTATAAAATGTGTTTTTATATCACTATACCTCTGTTTCAGAAAATTTTTCATCAACATAATTATGTTAAATCTCAATTCAGAGGTGACTTTGACTTGTGCTCAGTCTGACTTTCATCCCACAGCATTACTCTTTAAATATACAGCCATGAACCACGAATTCCAACTTATTACGCTCCCTTTTCCCACTGCTTCCTGGAATCCACTTCCTGTTTATACTTTGCTTTAAGGAGGAACAGAGGACGCCAAGAGCATGAAAACTACTGTTAATGACTCTGCTTTCAGTTACTGAGTTTCCTGGCAGTTGCAAAGCAGCTTCTGCAGCACAGGACAAGTAATAGCTAGGCTCATATTTCAATTCTGGCTGCCAGTTCAGGACAAGAAAACTTTCTCCTAACGCATAACTGGCGACAGAGAGAAGCACTGTCTTGAGAATTCCAAAAACAATATATTCATAAAAATCCATGTCAATGATTTTGCAATATATTTACACTGCAATGGCTAACTTGTACATATCAAGAGACTTTGGAAATTGCCATCACTTTTGAGCAAAATAGTATTATGCAAATTATGCAAATTTATTTCTCTCTCCCCTAGATATTCTAGACCATAGTCTTCACAATTGTTCAACTCTTAACATACAAAGACTTAAATTACTAATGGATACCTTAAGTCCCATTAATTTCAATAGTCCTACTCTAAGTTTGACCTAATCTGGATCCTATATATTCTTAGTTATTTATAGGCCATCTTATGCATCCTTTTTTGCAAAAAGTTTTATTTAAGTATTCTTACTACATTCATATATGATTTTATCTAGCGGCATTGTTTATTAAAGTCTTTAAAAAGTAAATGCATTAAGACAATAGCACTGACTAAATCATTAGCTTTGCGTATTTGATATTCAGAAATAATCAATACAGATGCTAATGCCTGCTCAACGGTTATTAAACAATTAGAAAACTTGTGATTTGTAGTGGCCATCCAAAGAAGAGAGAAGCTATATAGTTTAAGACTTCTAAAAAAACCATACCCCTGATTTTTAGTGACAAAGCATTGCCTCTAGGACATGACTTCAGAGTCATGTCCTCAAGATATCCTATGGCATATTTCAAAATAAAAATGTGCATACAATATTCTATCTCCATAGTACTATACTACCCAGGACTATATTCTGTCTAAAAATGAACTATTGATACTAAAGGGAGTATTTATTTATTAATTAAATAGCACTAGTAACTGGCTGAAAATCAATATATAAAGTAGGCTAAAAATTCCAAGGTCAAGGCATTTCAGTCAATTCATACATATGTACAACCTATTTATGTGTTAGTTGATATTACAGTTAAAAAGCTGTATGCACAAGATCAAAAAAGCATGTACCTGAACAAAAATATTTTTAAAAGAGATTTGCCTGGGAAGCATCTCAAAACTTTTAATGCATTTGATTATAGTATCAATTTGTTGTTTTATTTCTTCCAGTTTACATCACAAAGCTCAACAGTTGGCAAAACTGAAAGTACAAATAGTAATTACAATCTGTCAAGTCACATAGATCAAATTTTAAAATGTGTGTTCGGTGTCTTTTGCAAAATATGGCAGAAAGCTAGTTTCTGAAATGGACATTCATTTTAATTCCTTATGCTGTTTTGTGTTTATTCCACCACATATAATAAAAATCTTGTTTAACAAATCTCTAGATTTACGCAGGCATAAATATCTTTCATGACAGTTACTAGTTCTAATCTTGCCAGCTTGTTGGCCAATAGCACAGTAAAGAATAAACTTTATGTCACGGCACCATACTGCTCTACAGCAGCCCCAAAGGTATTTTTTCCGAAGGCAACTGGACTTTCTTTGTTGCCCTTGAAGACGTTTCGCTCCTTATCCAAGAAGCTTCTTCAGTTCTGACTTTCAGCTCAGCCACCCTAGGGTCTTTCAATCGGAACTGAAGAAGCTTCTTGGGTGAGAAGTGAAACGTCTTCAAGGACAAGAAAGGAAGTCCATTTGCCTTTTGGGGGGAAAAAAGCACCTTTGAGACAACCATGACCTGGATGACTGAGAACCTCCATAGACACTCTGCAACAATACTGTTACTTACCTGGGCTTCAGCACTGACGTTCTTCTGCTCTGGCTGATGTAGATTAGAACCAGGAGGATACCAAGGATGGTTGCAGTTTTGAGGTGGAGTCTGAAGAAGGTTGGTTTGTGGGACAAGGCGCTGTTCCAGGTGATGTTCTAAATCATTACTCGGGGCGTCCTGAACAAAGGCAGTTTCATCAAACTGGGGAAGGAGATCTTCCTGGAGAAGGGCTTCTGGGTCGAGTTCTGAAAATGATGCACTCTGAGACTCCACCTGACGGAGCAAATTCTCATCCAGAGACGGAAAACCATTGCCCTCTATGGGATCGCTAAAGTGGCTTAGCTGGGGACCAGAACCAGGAGGGGTAGAAAAATTCATGTTCACCGCGGATAGTTTTGAACTACTGAAGGTGCCCTGAGGTTGTGCTGAATGCAACACGTGGAAATTATTTGAAGCCAGAGACGTACTTGAATTGAGGAGGCTGTCTGAATCTTCTTGTTTGGTCCCTCTTCGAGTTGCAAAGGCATCGCTTCCGGAAAAGTCAGGCAGAGGGTGAGCTTGCTGGCTGACAGAAAGAGCTGCGGTAGATTGAAGAAGACTGGAAGGAGAGATCTGGTTGCTATTGTAGGGAAAAGGAGGAGAAAACTGTGTGTTAATAGAGCATGACGTGATCGCAGGAGAGGGCCCGTCGTAGCTTCCTTCTTGATTTCCACAAAAGTGGGGCGAGTTATTCCTACTCTGGGAAAAGGATGGCATAGAGATAGACTGCTGCGATTTGGATACGTCAACAGCTTGGGAGGGATGGGGAATGTTAGTTCTATGTGAAACAGGCGCATTCACCTCCATGAAACCATCAGGCTGATTCCGCGTGTTCTCTCCTGCATTCATGCTTTGCGGTAACTGCAATGAGGCACACGGATGATGCGGTTCGCTGGCCTGAAATAAGGCAAAACTGTGGTGTGCTACAAAGCTTTTATTTTGCTGCATAGACGGCGTGGGTCCTTGATGGAACGGAGATCCGTTCTGGTTAGAAACGCTGCTCGAGGTTTGGTGGCCCCACATCGGACTCCCATCTGCTACATCGTCAGGAAACAATCCATTCGTTTGAGTTTGTGGATGGACAGGAGAGCAACTGAAGTCAGAATGCGGGGATAAAACGTTTTCGACCGGGCTACTGAACGACTGGCTGACTTGCAGTTTCAGGGAGTCATACTGGTTGAGATGTTCGTAATCGTTCATCTTTTGCTGAGTTTGTGTCTCCTGCACGTGGTTCAAAGCATCGATCTGCAAAGGCTCAAACTCTGCGCCCAAGTTCAACTCATCAACCAGAGAAACAGGCCCAGTTTGTACAAAGGCATCATCAGATAAGCCTTCCAAAGTATCGCTAAAAAGATTGGCATCATCAAAAAAATCCATCATAGGGTCTGTCATCTTGATAGTTGTGTTACTTTGCCACTGCCACAAATGGAGTTAGTGAGTCTTACGGCAGCACACAAAATATCTTTCCAGAGGGAAGTACTTTATCTAAGCCATGTTGACATCCACCAGCATTTTTGTAGAAATAAGATCTTGAAGTATTTTAAATATCCTGGGTAAGAAGGGGGGAAAAATAGTTAAACAGTTTGGAATATCTTTCAATTACTATGTATTACATTTTTAATCATTATATCTATTAGGTGATATTTAAATACCAAAAGGACCTTGACTTCCAACTCTTCCTAGCACATTACAAGATAAACACATTCCCTTTCCCTCCCTTAATTTCCTATTTTCTTTTCTTTGTATTTTATATAATAAAAATAAAATGATAAAGTAAGACAGGACCTTATACAGTAAACATATTTTAAACCCATTACTTAAATTTGTTCTAGTCAGGCTTTTGATAAATTTCCCAAACAATGCATACTAATAGCTTTTTGTACTAAATTTTGTTGTGAACTACCCAAAATTGTTGAGAGCTGGACAGCATAGAAGTTTTATACAAGTGAACATAATCGAAAATGTCTGATTCCACAAAACAATTTTTTTTGGGTCTGGCAAAGCAATTGTGAACTTTTAAGGCTTATGTCTTTTTATTGGTATCAAAGTAAAGTAGGCAAGCTCAGTTAAATTCCCTCAAATTCTTAGAAAACGTAGCTGCAGATGGGATAAAATTTATTCCTGAAGGAATGTATTCAACTGAATAACATATTGCTTTACCTTTACTTATCATGCTTAATTTTAATATTTTGCCCCAGTTCCTTCTTTTCCACGGTGATGTTACATTTTAATGAAATATGTTCACTAGAAAATATATGTTCAGTTTAAGGAGAGTAAGTTCATACACGATACTAAGGTGTAATACAGGTACTTGGTTTTGGATTTATATTTTATATGAATTCATTCAGAGTCCAAACACATTACTACTTTGATTGAAATTCCATCATAAACACTTTCTGATATCTTCTTACTGGTATGTTTCTAAATATACTTTTATATACAGATATTTGTATTTATCTTCTTCACTTTCTCTTTTTCCACTTTGAGTGTCGAGGGAGATACAACATTTTGGTTCTTGCTCTTCTGGCGGCCTCAACCATTTTTATTTGACGTTGTTGCACTGTGTTTTTATGTTGTCTCTCTGTCTTCTTCTGGATCTGCCTCGTGTTCTTGAACCTTCTCCTCTTTTTATATATACCTCCTACTGTATGGAATCCCACATCTTCTCCAGGTGAGCAAACCACTCAATTTGCTGTTTTTGTATATAATTTAAGATTGATTTGATTGCCAGTTCTTTTTCTGATGGTCTCATTTTTTATTTCATCCCTTCTGGTCACACCAGCAGCTTTCCTCAAATATGTATTTATAAATATAAAAATTACATAAAATATAACATTGCATAGCTTCAAACGTGGCTTGAAATTTTAATAAACGAAGAATTTAATTATGAATTTAATAGATAATAAGAAAAAAAAACATCCTTACCCATTAATACATAGCACATTTTGTTACAAAAATTTTACTTAGTCCTGGGAAATATTTGGTCCCTGATGTAATTGGGTAGCATTACAGATCTGAAAGATAAATAATAGTTTTAAACAATTCAGTTCGAGTATAATACCTTCTTAGAGTCCTGCAATTTTGCTGTATGAATAATGTTAGGATGAAAATACAAAATCTGGACATGAGAGGAAGGCATTGAGGCACTGCACAGTTCTGCAAATATAAACAATTCTGGAACATTAGTCCTAGTATCATGTTTTATCTTATAGCACTGGTGGAAAAGCTATTACTTTAATCTCATTAATGCATGTCCCAGTACTACCAATTTTAAGTAGTTCTTAATTAAAGCACATTTTAATTAAACAAAGCAAACATTGCTTCCAGCAAAATTATCTAACACCATGGCCCAATAACCGATTTAAGACACAATTTAACTTATTATACAGAAACATCAAAATCAAGATTTTTTGGAGATTTAGAGTTCCCATTAGAGTTGTTTGATTAAACTATCACTCTAGCTTTAAGGCCAGGTTATGGAGCTACTACAGTCTGTAAATTCTGGTCAAAAAACATTCACTGATTAATGCTAAACTCAGTATGATTGAATACTATACCACAAGCCAGTGTTAAAACTGGGCGGAATGGGAAAGAATCTCAAAGCAATAGCACAGGCAGTGCTGGTATCTACTCAAGATGTATCCATTAAATCAGTATTTCTGAACCTCGGTCGCTTTATGATGCAAGGGCTTCAACTCCCACAATGCACCAGCAAGCTTGAATGGCTAGGGCATTCTGGGAATTGAAGTCCACACATCTTAAAGTGGCTGAGGTTGAGAAACACTGCATTACATCACTCTTTTCAGCAAAACTTTTCATGGCTTAACTGTGCACCCAACAGCTTAAATCAGGAAGTGTTTGGGCTCATGAAGGTACCTCCCACCCAAAATTCTGCAGATTTTTACTTCCTTGCTTCACGCCTCTGCTATTCCAAATCATTTTCCTAGTCCCAAGAGTAGATTCTCAGGGTCTACAAGAATTATGGAGAAGGAACTTTGGAAAAAACCATGCTGTTCCCCATTTTATGACATCCAGTAACACATGTCATGCTTTGATCTTAACCTTAATAAACCTTAATAATATTTTTGTCAGGTAATTGAATAAACTATTAGATAATGAATATATTATCTGGATCTTAATAAATATACTCAGGAGATAAATCTGTTTTGGTGCAGTAGGGATTTGTTTTTTTCTGGTCCCCTCGGAGACAATTTTCAGAACTGTCCCAGAATAAGGCCTCTATCAAAACTAGGTTTTGCAGCCGGAGGGATCATAAATAGAATTTGTGTACCACGGTTTGAGATATCTCATGTGCATAGTGCTTTCTTTGTCAAAGGTGAACATTGATAAACATCTTACTGATCTCTATAAGCTCTGTCCCTCTGAGGAGGCAGTATTTGGCTAACTGCTTGAAGACAAAGAGCAAACCTATTTCATTTTGTGACAAACAAAATCGGAACATATGATGGTTATTGACATAGCCAAAGTATCTCAATGTTCTAAGTCCTCTCAGTAGGATTTAGGTGAATTATCCAAGGAGAACAGACATTTCTTATATACTGCAGGTTCTGGAGCAGAACAACAACTTACCATTTGGTACACAAACTGATTCTCTTTTGCAGGTTGCACTGACGCACCACTGTTGATTGAAAAAACCTTTCTTCTAGCAACTTTACCAGGACAGCAGAACTGAGAAGATGAGGAAAAAATACAAAGCATTAGTAAGTCAGAACTGCCACAGAGCCAAGCTTTAAATAAGTTAAACAACACCGATAAACCAAGGAGTACTTATTGAATCTGCAGTATGTGAATGCTGTAAGTAAATGTTCTATTGATTTGTTTGCATTAACTTTTATACTTGCAATAGTTTTATACTTCTGATACAGTCAAATGACTAAATCAGTAAAGTTTCTACTAGTAGTAGTGTAGTAAATAAATAAATAGTCACACCTGTAAGATATTACAAGGTGTGCAAAAAACTTATCCTTGATATATCATTTACTATTAAGTTCCAAAGAAGTTAAGATCATAACATTTTTCATTGTTCAGACTCCATTATGGAACAGATTTCAATGGGAGATTTGAGACAGGAAAAAAACCAACAACTAAGTCTTCATTCGATATGTTTACAAGATAAAAATTATTCATTCAAGATATAGAGATGACAATCTGACAGGACTGAAGATAAATTAACACTAACTTATAGAGGATAAGAATACAAATGGGTACCAGGATCTATATACTACTCAAATTCTCCTACTTGTCTGTTTGCAACCTTCATGTGGGAAAACAGGCCATTTATAGGTCAACAATTTTTCAATCAACCTGCCTCAAATGGGTTAACACGAAGAATGTGCACAGAATCCAGGATTCCCATGGGATTAAATTTTGGCAAAGCTGGGGTCTATTTACCATGTGCTCATCCATGGTCAGGAGATTCAGAACAGGTAATTCTGTTCTGCTTGAAATATTTCTGAAATGATCACCCAATGGGTTGTCTAATGCAAGGGTCTTCAACCCTGGCAACTTTACGACATTGATGTCAACTCCCAGAATTCCTCAGCCAGCCATGCTGTCTGAGTAATTCTGGGAGTTGAAGTTGAGTTGAAGATCCCTGGTCTAGTATCTCACATTCATACTGGAGGTAGGAGAAAAATCAGCAATGCTTAGGAAAATGTGGTTAGATTACAGTGAAAGTACCCTGATGAAGAAATATTGATAAGAAGGATGAAAGTGAGGCATACAGGGAATAGATGGCAAGGGTTATTTCTGAAAATTAATTACTAGTACGAGAGAAGATTACAGATCAAGGATGATCCTAGACAATTATTGTGTGGGCAGTTTAGACTCTCCATATCATCTGTATTGTATGTTTTTATTCTAAACTTCCCCAATTTGTGTTTGTTATAAAGGATCTGAAAACTTCTGTTACTTGCATTTCTGACCTAAACATTTTTCATTATAGTAATGAAAGATCACAATAAGGTACATATTACGTATGATAAAACATCACAAACTAAATAGGGCAGTCACACTGCTGATAGTACAAGTATTATATTTTATAATATACCCAGAGGCTGGAAGTGGAGAAAATAAGTTATTCCAATGAGCAAACTTAGCAGGGACATGCAAGGTATCTCAACTTCAAAACAGGTTGTCCTGATCTTATTGGAAGTGTTTCAATCATTCCAGAAGAATTATAAAACAACAGTTTTGAAATGGAAACACAACCATTTCAAGTTTGAAACATGTCCAGTAGGGACAGGACAGAGTAGGAACACTTGGCAAGAATGGAACAGCTGTTTCAAACTTTTTGAACTTGGAACAGATTGCTTCGAACTCAAAATGGATTAATTTTGAGCTTGAATGTATTATATTATTTAATGACATGGTGACTATGCTAGCTACTTCACAACACGCTGGTCAATCAAAATGAGAATTCACTAAGGCAAGCTGCAATGGATTTTAAGAGGACTTGTTTGTCCTTTTTTACCTACTGCAAACTAATTTGTGTCTGTTAATGAAATAGCCACAGTCCTGTATTAATAGGAACTAAACCAAATCAATGCAACTTTGACTTTAAAAGAGTGGTTCTGCCTATACTGGATTACTAAGTGTTGATAAAATTTTAAAATGAAAAACCAGAAGAGATGTTAAACTATATATTTGACTTACAAAGTTAGCGGGCCCTGATAGACTGAATAATCTGTTGAAACGTAACAGACATTTTATCTGCTAATAGAGTGATTGACTCTAACCAGTCAAGAAGCAACCAAAGACAGAAATAAAGCGATTCTTGGAGAAGTTTTTTTTACAGAAACGTATGAATAAAGTATGAAAAAAATCACTCCTACTCTATTTCCACGTGATCTTTTAACTTTTACAACTTACAGAACACTAACTGTGGTTTAGAAAAGGACCAACCTTTTCACTGAATATATGACAACTTGTAAGGAAGAAGTAATTTAATATGAAACAGATATGTACACACATAAACCAGCAGCCCCCAGTAATTTAGTGAAGCACAAGACTAGATAAGTTTTTTCTTGCTGTAGTGTAATAGTGCTGCAGCCTTCCAGAGCAACCTTTGGTTTACAGCCATTCCTTTGGCTCTGCAGTCTCTGGTCTACTGATGGTGTGGCCACAGCCATCATTAGATAGCTTTAAAAGGTATAGTAGTTAGAAGTGATTATTGTTCAGATTTGAAATAATCATATTTAAAGGATTCATCTCCCACTTAAAGTAAGCAGATATGTAGCAAAGTATCCAACTCTTCCATGTAAACTAAAATTATAAAGCATAAAAGGTTTCATCAGACAAAATATTAAGGCCACAATATGAGCAGCCTTAGAAAACATATAAATATAATTATCAGATCTGTAAAAACAATATTACAAAACAACTGTAGATTAATTTACTTATTTAAGACCTGAACAGTGCACAGGTGACCATACGCAAAAAGCTGTGAAATGGGGATATACATGAAGTCACTTTCAGTAAATAGACATTGAAAATATGAATTATATGAAATCTATTTCCATATAATGTTCTTGAACAACTTTCAGATTTTATATTTTTTAATATATTATTAGCCACCGTTATCATTACCACTATGTTACAAAAAATTACACATTGAGGGATGACAGCATGAAATCCTACATTAGTCCAACTGGTTCACTTTGATACATCTTCTACAAGCTTTTTTGTGTGTGTACCACCCAACCTTTATGAAACTATATCCAACTGTTCATTTCTTCGATGCTTCCCTAACAAACTGGACCAGAATAAACCTCTTCAGTCTCTTATTTTTGCTTAACTATATTAAACTCTTATTATGGAAAAAAAAACTTAATTTCCCCCTTGATTTCGGAAAAGCACCAACTTGCGTTATGTATGCCATGACTTTTGTTTTTTCATTCAACATTTGCCTTTGGCCTCTGTTTAGATAATTCACTGAATCAATTTGTTGCACCCACATCTGGATTCCATTAACTGGGCTTTTTCTATCTATACCAACAACAACAGAGAAATGGGGAACAAGTCACAATGAAGAAAAAAAGCTTATCCTACTGTAGTGATTAAGGTGCTGGACTTAAGACTGGGGAAACCCAGGATCAAGTCCTCCTTGAACCACAGAGTTCACTGGTGATTTGGGGCCAGTTCAGAGGTGGTATTCAGCTGGTTCTGACCAGTTCTGGAGAACCGGTAGCGGGAATTTTGAGTAGTTTGGAGAACCGGCAAATACCACCTCTGACTGGAGATTTTACAGTATCCTTCCCCTGCCACGCCCACCAAGCTACGCCCACAGAACCGGTAGTAAAAAAATTTGAATCCCACCACTGGGCCAGTCATAATCTCTCATCCAACATCCCTCATGGGGAAGTTGCTTCTGCGGGGATAAAAATGAAGATCTACATATAAGACACCTTGACCTATCTGAGAAAAAGCAGGGTGTCAGTGCAACAGAGGAAGAAGAAAAATACAACAGTATGATTTGATTTAAAAATAAATAAACTTGAGCAAACTATTATGGTGTCAAATATTCTACCATTTCCAGACCGATCCCCCCACCCCAAGATCATATTCTCACTTTCAAAGACTGCAGACCACATATATATGCTGCCTTCCATTCTGCTGAGGAATAATCTCTGATTTGATCTGAGTTCAAATATGGTTTGGTGATCATTCGGACTCTCCTTGGCATTCAACCCAGCACTAAGACTCTTCACAAACTTCCTAGAGAGCCGGCAACAGAACCTTTTCTCCTTTCAGCCATCAGGGTAACTCCACCCATTGCAGTGCAACTATCTCTGCTATTTCATGTAGAGACCTTCTCGGCTTCCACCTTAAAAATTGAGCACATATTGAGGGGTCAGCCGTTTCTCCTCTTCCTATTGGCCTGGGTGGAAAAGAGCTGCTGGGCCTACCAGTGCATCTTCAGAAGAGGCACTGCTTTAAATGAAGCTCCACATGCCAGCTTGGCACAACCGTGGCACAACCTACCATAACTTCTTTCTTAGACCAACACAAGTCTTCACCGTAGAGCAGGATGCAATATTCTGCACTGGCTGGAGTGCCCCCCACTCCCAAACATCATTTCAAGAATCTACAGTATTTGGCTGCATGGCTACAAGTCATGATATGAGGAATACAGAAGACTGCAAACTACAAGTGAAGTGATGCTCATTCCAAACTCAAGCACCTGCTGGATCAAGTCCTCTTCTGTGCACATGACCCTGGATCTAAGGTGAAGAAGTCACCATCACCCGAGTAGCATGAAGCCGCTGTGCAACATACCTGCCTCGTACAGTGTCTTCCCACGGGAGCCGAATATGCTTCTTTCCCTTGAAACCATTGCCTTTACGCCTTCTGCCCTACTCCACTTTTTTTTTTTTTTTTGCAGCTGTGGGTTAGTTACAGCTAAGCCTCCCGCCCACTTTTGGGAGGAAAACCCTCCCAACTCCCCAGCTATGGTGCTGCAGAGAAAAACCCACCCTCGGGGAGCAAGAAGAACAAACTGGGCTTGAGACAAGGAAGCCAACTTCCATCATCCCCGCCCCAATGCCCAACATGGATTTCCTCTGACCCTGTTTGGTGGCATCCCATCCAAGCCCCCTCCCCCCCTCCTCCTTGACCGCCAGCAACCTAACAAAGGGCAGGAAGAACCCCTTCCTTTTAGGGAAACCCCAGATCTGGGAAGTTGGGGAGGGGTGTGTGTGCATGGGGGTGGTAGGGATAGAAGAGGAGCCTTTTCTGCCGGGTGGCATCGCTTGTGTCGGCCACCTGGACAAGAAGTCAGAGCCTCTTCCAAGATCCGAAGGTGGGGGGAAGAGGGGGGGCGAAAAGAGAGAGAGAGAGAGGAGGGAGGGAGGGAGAGAGAGAAGGGGGAGAGTGAGAGGGGGAGAAAAGAGAGAGAAGGAGGCAGGGACGGGAAGAGAGAGAGAGAGAGAGAAAGAGGGGAAGGGGGGGGGGGGGGGGGGGGGGGGGGAGAGAGAGAGAGAAAGGGAGGGAGGGGGAGAGGGAGGGAGAGGAGCCGCCGCCCCCCACCCTCGCCAGGGGAAGCGCGCGTGCGCGTGCGCGTGTGTCAGGCGCGCGGGCGGGCGGCCGCCCTGCCGCTCTCCCACGTGGGCGCGGTGTGGGGGAGGGGAGGGCAGCGGCGGAGGGCGACCACCTCCCTCAGACGGGAGAGGAGGAGGAGAAGGAGGAGGAGGAAGGCTTCCCCGAGGTGCGAAGGCCCACCCACCTGCCCCCTTTTTCGCCCGAAGGGGAAAGCCCGGCAGGGCCATCCCGGGCTGAGGAGGGGCGGCGGAGGCGTGACAGGCCAGGCCCTCGGGGGCGGGCGGGACGCCACCCCGCCGGCGGCGACGGCGGCGGCTGCTCCTCCTGAGGGCGAAGCGAGGTGTGTGTGTGAGGGGGGCCGTTGGGCGGAAAGACCCCCCCGCCTCAGGGCGCCTTGACAGCTCGTGAGGTAGAAGCGCGCGGCGGCGGCGGCCACTCCCCTTTCGCCTCAGGGAAGCCCGGCCGCCCGGTTTTCGTCTCCCTTCTTCCCTCGGTCTCCCGCCCACCCGGCTCTCCCCTGGCTTACCGGCGGGCGAGGGCAACGCGGCGGCTGGCGAAGGCCCTGCCCGAGGCAGGAGGTGGCGCGACGGTGGCGGCGGTGGCGGCTGAGGGAAAGGGGGCGGAGCCTCCGGGGTGGGCGCGGCGTGGCCCCGGCCCGGCCCCGCCCACCCGTCCTGCCGCGGCCTGCTCTGGCAGCTGCCAGCGGGGCCTTCTCCCCACCCCTCCCCTCCCCTCGTTTCCCTGACGCCCCTCTCTCGGGCTGCGCCTGCGCGGCCCGCTCCCCGACACGAGGGCCGCGGGTAAGACGGGAGAAGAAGAGGAGGAGGAGGAGGATCCAACGGCCGCGCCAGCCAATCCACGCAGGGCACACATCACGCTTTTCTTCGGCAGGCGAAGGGGGCGGGACCGTCTCGAGGCTTTCTGCCCGGCTCTGTGAAGACGGGAAGGGGTGTGTGTGTGCGCGTGTGTGTGTACATTTGCATGTTTGTTAGCCGCTCGAGGATTGGTCGGAAAGGGGAGGTCTGCGCCGACAGGGATGGAGGAGGAGGAGGGGGCGGGAAGCTACAGCGTCGCTGGGCGAGGAGGCTGCGGAGGGCGGGGTTGGACTTCAACTCCCAGGACTCGCAGCGAGGCGCGCTATAGAGTCTGGGAGTTGGAGTCCAGAGTGGTGGGGGGCGTGGCAGGTAGAAGAGGCAAAGCGAAAGGAGGTGGGGCTGCGTGGTTTTTTTTTTTTTTTTTGCACTTTTGGCCAACCTCCCCCTTCCGTTTTTATGATCTTGAACTTATATTCCTGCTTCAATTCTTCATTTGGGTAAATTCGGCTTCCTGTTCCAACTTGCTTATAGCTTATATAAGCCATGATGGACAAACCAGGATGGCTAGGCTTTGCAGGGTCTGCTAATGCAAAGCAAACTGCTAAATGTGGTGGCAGCGCTGGGCAAAATGTAGCTGGCTTGGGTGTGGCGAGGTTATTGTGGCTAATAAATATGTCCTTTCTTGGAAAATAAATAAATAAAGGGCAAACCTGAAAAAGGGTCGAATCCGAAAGAGTTTCTTAAAGGATAATACGTTTAAATGGTTTATATGGTTACAAGACCCCCAAGGCCTCTTCCAATTCTTGTTATTCTGTATTCTGGCTAGTGAACCTTGCAATTGAAATAGAATAGAATATTGGAATGAAGAAAAGAATGGAATGGGATAGAATAAGGAATAGAATAGAATAAGGAATAGAATAGAATAGAATAGAATAGAATAGAATAGAATAGAAAACAACAGAACAGAACAGAACAGAACAGAATTCTTTATAGGCCAAGTGTTCTTTATAGGCCAATTCTTTATAGGCCAAGACACACAAGGAATTTGTCTTGGTGCAAATACTCTCAGTGTACATAAAAGAAAAGATACATTCATCAAGAGTCAAGAATCATCAGGTACAACACTTAATAATAGCCATAGGGTACAATAAGCAATCAAATCATAATAGGAAACAGTCAATATAAACAATAGGAAACAGTCAAAATAAACCGTAAGGATACAAGCAACAAAGTTACAGTCCATACAGTCACAAGTGGGAGGGGATGGGTGAGAAGGAGTGGTGAGAAGATCAACAGTAATAGTAGTGTACACTTTGTAAATAGTTGGACAGTGTTGAGGGAATTATTTGTTTAGCAGAGTGATGGTGTTTGGGAAAAAACTGTCCTTGTGTCTAGTTGTTCTGGTGTGCAGGGCTCTGTAGCATTGAGGGAAGGAGTTGAAACAGTTTGTATCCGGGATGTGAGGGGTCTGTAAATATTTTCACAGCCCTCTTTTTGACTCCTGCAGGATACAGGTCCTCGATGGAAGGCAGGTTGGTAACAATTGTTTTTTCTGCAGTCCTAATTACTCTCTGAAGTCTGTGTCTCCTGTTGGGTTGCAGAACCAAATCAGGCAGTTATAGAGGTGCAGATGACAGACTCAATAATTCCTCTGTAGAACTGGATCAGCAGCTCTAATAATCTTGACAAGATAACCAAAGATCTCACAAGACCCAGTCTGCCATTCGGTTATTAGCAATATGGCTTTCAGGTACCAGCAGGGCTACAGAGCCCTACACAGGCTGAAGTCATCTAGGACAGGCTGGCTGAGGAATTCTGGGAGTTGAAGTCCACAAGTCTTTAAAGTTGCCAAAGTTAGAGACCCCAATCCAAGACATCCCTGTGGATCACATATGGTGATTACATGATGCATGATGCAGCCATTGCAAATGCGTGCTGGTTTTCAAATATCCGAAGTTTGGTCATAAATGTGAGGACCAGTAGAAAGCTTTCATCACTGTCCTAATTTCAAAGGGTCATTAAACAAATGGACATAAGTTGGGGACTACCTGTATTGTGTGAGGTGAGAGTTGCACTCTTTCTTGGAAATGGGGTCCTCCAAAATTTTTCTCCAGAAACAATATTTTATTGCCTAGTTTAATTTTAATTTTGCCTAGTTTAACTTATTGTAATAAATATAATTTACCACAGTGTAATTCCCCATCCTTTGAAAAATAAAACGAAAAGCTTTGCCTGAGAGTTTAATGATTTTATTTTCGAATTGCTTCGTTTATCTCGGAGTCTTACATTTTGCATTAGGGATCCGAAAACAAACACAGATGCACCCTGGCTAGCCGGCTGAAAAGGTCAGCCCTGAAGAGAAAAACAAAACAAAACAAAATAAAGCTTGGAAATAAATAGAGCTTTCAGCAGTAAGGTCAGACTATTAGACCTGTTCAGTTCCCTGTATCAAAGGCTGTATTTCTGTGGGGGGAAACATTGGACATCGTAGTTAGATGAGAAGGAGAGAGCATCGGAAAGACAAGGGTTTCTTGGGGAAGATCGTTTGTCTGTCACATTTATAGAAGAGATCCACCCTTTCTACCTGATCTAAAAGAGCTGTCCTTGAATTGTTTTTGGTGGAATTTGCTGGGATTCACATCTTTTTGTAGGAAGATTGTTTTAGAATAGCTGTGTGAATGCCAGGAAGTAAATCCGGACTACCTTTCCTTAAGTAACCTGTGAATCTTTTGAAACTCAGCGCTGCGGGTTTTTACACACCTGAATGAAATTATAGGCAATTAATTCAGACAACAATAACCAGGCCTACAGCATCGTACATATTTACCTGGGAACTCAACTTTCAAGTAGACGTGGTAATTAAGCCATTCACTTTTCCATTCTAACATCCCAATTACCCGAAAATAAATTCTAATTAAATTAAGCTTTGTTTTCACAGAAATTAATTTAGAATTTAGAAGCACTAATGATTTTTTCTCTCTCTCTCTGCTAGGATTCTTACGTTTCGTCCAAGAGATATTTTTTTTCTGCTCCAGTGGTGCTGAGCGAGGATGAAATATCACTGCGGAAATGTAGGAAAAAGTGTGTTGCGTTAGATAAAACGCTATAAAATATGCAGGTCTGATGCTCTCATGATTGAAGAGCTGAATACAGGCAGTCCTCAACTTACAACCATTTTGCCATGCCCTTGGTAGAGTCAGACTCTGAGGGAGAGGAGGAACAGCTGACAGGGAGTAGAGGTATGGCTCCGGAGGTTGTGGAGGAGGCTGGGGAAGGTCTGAGGCCAGCTGGGCAGTCAAAGGAAGAACCAGGCCCATCCCCTCTTCATCCTAGGACACACAGGGAGGAACGGAGAAGGAAACAACTTGGCTTACAAGAGAGGAAGTGGCCATGATCCCCCTCATTGGTTGCAGCTGGGGAGATTAGTGTATAAGAGAGACAGTTAAAACACAGCATTGCCAGAAGCAAAGTGTGTTTTGGGGGGGGCTGAAGTTATCTTGGTTGGCGTCCTTCCAACAGACTATGCCTTGTTATCTCCTTGAAGTTGGTAATTACTTATCCTGGACCATTGTGGAATTTCCTTCATTGTAGTTTGTTCTGTTTTTTTTTTTTATTTCACCTCTATCTGCTCATAAAGTTCGGACTGTATTGCTTTCTTTTAAAGACTATTTTTGAGTACGTTTTATCTCCAGCTGAGAATTATTGAACAGTGGGGCAAAGTTGGAGGCATTAAAGGACATTTATTTACGTTTTGGATTTTGTTACGTTTGTGTTACACTCCGGGTCATCACACATTTATTTAGTGACCGAAGTTCCAATGGCATTGGAAAAAAGTGATAATTGGTACTTGCATGTACAACCATGAGAGTTCCCCCATGGTCATGGGATCAAAACCTAAGCATTGGCAGCTGGTACAGGTACTCCTTGACTTACAACCACAATTGAGCCCAAAATTTATGTCGTCAAGTGTTAACAAATGTTAACAAACATTTGTTAAGTGAGTTTTGCCCCGTTTTATAACCTTTCTAACCATAGTTGCTATGTGAGTTGCTGCAGTTCTTAAGTTAGTCACACCGTTGTTAAGTAAATCCGGCTTCCCCATCAACTTTGCTTGTCAGAAGGTTGCAAAACGTGACCTTGGGACACAGCAACGGTCATAAGTATGAACCAGTTGCCAAGGGTCTGAATTTTGATCCCGTGACCCTAGGGATGCCACGACGATCATACGTGTGAAAAATGGTCCTAGGTCCCTTTTTTTAAAGTGCCGTATCTTTGAATGGTCACTAAATGAACTGTTGTAAGTCAAGGACGATCTGTATTTATGGCGGTTGGAGCATCCTGGAGTCACATAATCGCCCATCGCCATCTTCCCAGGAGTCAACGGAAGTGGGATTTGCTTAACAACTTTGATTGGAATGATTCACTTTAACAACCGTGGCCAAAAAGGTAAGATGAAGTGCGATTCAACAATTTGCATCATTCAGCGACAGAAGTTCCGGTCCCAACTTTGGTCGCAAGTCTGGAATGGAATGGAATGGAATGGAATGGAGTAGAGTAGAGTAGAATAGAATAGAATAGAATAGAATAGAATAGAATAGAATAGAATAGAATAGAATAGAATAGAATAGAATATGGAATGGAACAGAACAGAACACAATAGAAAATAGAATAGAATAGAGGAACGGAACGGAACAGAATAGAATAGAATAGAACAGAATATGGGATGGAATGGAACAGAACACAATAGAAAATAGAATAGAATAGAGGAATGGAATGGAATGGAA